CATAACCACTGATGAGTCACATTAATCCTGTTAATTGTGCATGTATATCAATTTGTTAATTTCCTGATCTGAAAGTCAAACCAGATCAACTGACACTGATGGATATTACCGCTGGGTTCTTGAGAAATTGAAATGTTTAATCAATTTTCTTCAATAGAACTTTTTTCCAGGAATCCGACAGAGAATTTTACAGCCAAATCAGAAGAGACTATAACCGTCTAGCTTCTGTTTCCAGATCTTTGAATGACTTACTATCGAATATAATAACGGCTACTTATTTTAACAATATCGCATTCATCCTGGTTCAACTATTCAACAGTTTGCAGTGAGTGAACATTTATATATCTAGGTGCTTCTATTTTGGAAAACTTATTTTCGTTACAGAAAGATGCGAACCCAGATAAAAAGAGTTGTTTTTCTATATTCCTTTGTTCATGTCATAGCAAGAGTCAGTGTCCTCACCATATATGCTGCATCCATTCATGAGGAGAGCAGACGCTTTTTGCCGATACTGAATAGAGTTCCTGCGGAACCTTTCGATAGAAACGTAAGTCGACAATAAAGGAGCAGTTCTTCCTCCACCGATAAAATTTTCTGTGTTTTTCTATGCTTAGTATATGCTACTCAATAGTTTCACCTGTGATAAGAAACATGAGTAGGAGCGTACCAAAACTGCCAGGAAAAAAACTTTTTTGTGAAAATTTATTTGTTTATGAGGTGAGATTTCAATGACTGCCATTATCTTGTGTAAAAATGTTTTCAAGAGATAATTTGATGGAATTCGTTCACTAGATTTACATATGAAAGCACTAATTTGGTCCTCATGGGCTCAACAGTCCCTGGCCTACGAGGAAAAACGCGTTTTTTCTGTTCAAAATCGTCTTCATTCATCAACGTAACGTCCATCAAGAGCCACACAAAATAGGCCTAAGTTTCACCAATAATCTCTTCATTCGATCAACATTTCTTGCCGGTGAGCATTTTTTGAAGTCTGCGACCAGTCAGTACTCACTGGCAGCCAAATCTGGCGAATACGGTGGAGCAATTCAAAGTTCAATCCATGTAGTTTCGGGATCATTTGACAAGGTTCACCAGTTGTAAAAAAAATCCACAAACCGGGAAAATTAATGCGCCCCATCGTGACAGCTATTGGAGCTCCTACCTACCAAATAGCAAAGTGGCTCACTAAGGAATTTGAAATCTTGTTTATTGCGGAACCAGGTTTCAGTATAAAAAANCTATATTGTGTACCAAGTATATAAGGACACATTGGGTAATTGTAAAATTAATTTAAGACACCAAAGGTGTGGTATAGCTGTATACCAGAAATAGGTTTAGCTTCGCTAGGTTTCCTGTTTAATCTTCCTATTGAAGATGACCACTTGGTGATCGAAAGACGTTTCGAGGTGTTGAAAATAACGATCTGAATATCCTGCTAATGATGCCAACTTAACCAAACGCGCGTCAAGAAACAGTATTTCCATTCTGGTTGCTGGTGTGTGAATAGTAATTTCAGTAGATTCATTTTACGACAGAGATTCCAAATCAAAAGCTACATTTTCACAAAATATTCAGTGCCAGCCATGTTGCTGATCTGAAAATTAAACACTATGAATAGAGAAAGCAGGTGGCATAAGTAGTTTTTATCTGTATTTTTCGCTCAAGTTTCTTTCATGGTCAGTAAATCTATTTTGCTTTTTCAGGTGGAAAGGTTGATACATCAAATACAAAACGATTCATCGGTCTTAACCGGTCATAACTTCTTTAAAATCACAAGAGGTTCAGTCCTGAAAGTAAGTATGAATGAGTGACAAAAATCACATAAATAGTCAAATTAGGCAGATTCGATAAAATTTACTACTCCAATGGAAAAAGGTCGGGTGATTTTTCATCATTTTTCTGAAAGCTTATATATTTATTCGACAATGTCTATTTTGTTTCGTTCGAACTAGTCCCTTTCAGATATAATACACTTGGTTGGACTCATTGTTTTCCGATTACAGAAAATCGCTACAGAATATAATGAAATACATCTTTGTATATTTGTCTATGTGTAAATGGGAGTTATTCTCAAAAACAATTCAATTGATTTGATGTGTGGTTTTCACTTCGCACACGGTTCATAATTCAACAAGTCAAGTCTACCATTTGTAGAGAAAAAATATTATAAAAATTCAGTTAATTAGGCTGAAATTTTTGTTGACTATATTCAAAAATTGCATGATTCATTTTGTAAATCAAAGCTAGACAATTACATGAGAACTTCCTGATGTTGGAAAATCTAGGAAAATCCAGGAACTGGAGTCTATGCAAATGAAGTGGCAACAGCTTGTCTCTCATGCACTGAATATTTTCTGATTAATTCCATTGACATTGACAAAGTTCAAACTCTGGTCATCCGTTTATTCAGACAGCTAAATGGACCGATGACGTTGCATTCAGATAAATCACAAAGTGGTACTCGCAGTCTAGTACTCATGAATTCAATGGAATATCCAAACTGGCTTCATCTAGTTTTCTGCTTACAGCGCAGAGAGACAGAAAATAATTGTTCTTCCGATGACAATATATTTTTTAGTTTCAATCGATAGTTATCGATCAATACGAAAGTCCATCTAAAAAACGGAGAATCCTTCAACAGAAAAACTTAAGGAACGGGGAAAATTATTATTAGGATAAAACATATTCTATAGAAGTAGGTAGGTACCTACTCCTCCGGCATACCTTATAGAAGAATTAGCTTGTTATATTTCTTAGTCTTTTATTGATGGCGTCATTATTACATGGCCGAGTCCCAGTTAATTTCGAACAGTCTAATTCTTCTATCAGGAGGCCTTCTATTGATGTGGTCAACCGTACCACCCTGCATTTTGTGAACTAAACAAACCGAGCATAAAACAATTGGCAACATGCTTCATTCAGCTGTACCATGGCTGAATTTAGCTGGAAATTGCACAGATTTCGGTTGAATAACGTGGATCCCATCTTTGCCGAAATCGATACGGACTGATGGAATGTCCGTGTCATACATTTGTGCTCTCCAGAAACAGGGCCATATAATACCCTTAGACACATCAACATTGTATCACAACATCACCTTGGCCCCCACAAATATTTCCAACTCTTCAGGCAACCCCCCAGTCTTGTTTAAATCAGATTTGATTTGTTTTCTAGAAATATATTTTTTTTATTGAAGCCAACCCTGGATGTGGCATCTATTTCATAGTGGGCCTACCAACTGCCTATCATAAACGAATGCGTATACAAAATTTCTTGTCCCTGCTATTTACCGCTGAGGTGATCTCTCGTACGGAGCCGATCCTGGCAGCAGCATCAGGTCACGTTTATGATTAACATGCATTGTCATCGGTTCTGGACCAGCATGCAAAATTCCAGATCAATCGGATACCGGGAAGTGGGTTAAATTAAACTTGCTGGTTTTAAATTGAACTTCACTGGTTTCACGATCATCCAATTTCTTTGAAAACTTACTCGTTTGTTTGCTACCATCTGTCAAGTATGCATGTGAAAAATCATCAACATATTTTCGATATAAATGGGTGTTTACCTTTCTTTGTCACTTAGTTTATGGTAGCTGAGGCGTCATTACGGTATTGTTTTTGTCAAAAAAAATTACGAACAAGCGAAGCTTTTTTTATCTTGGGACTTCTGGGCTCTTCCATTGGGATGATTAGACTCTGGTTTCGATGTCATAACCATTTTCTTATCCTCTCCGATAATCCTCTGATGTAGGGAAGTGCAAGCACTGGTTGTGACGGCTTCTCTTCCTTGCGAGGCTCCTGCTGTCTTTTAGCCAAGGTCTTTTATACCATCGCTTTGGAGTAGACATTCCGTTGAAGATCATTTTTTCTGATGTCTAGTTCCTTCTCGATACCTTCCTTCGTGTTACAGAACCCGAAAGCACGGTCTAAAACGGTCTAATTCGTTTAATGTTATAGTCTTTCAGAACAGCTATGGTTTCATTACAAATTAAACATAACGCCTTATTACTGGACTCGATCACAAAATACTGGAAGTTCCATTTCAATTGGACGTTCTGCATACACTGTCGATTTCTCGCTTCTTTTCCATACTAATAAATCACACATAAAAACAATAAGCCAAATCAAAATACTTTTATTGACGGGTGTTATTTTATTTCACAATAGACAGTTTCGCTTCCCTCACCTTTCCTACGCAGACTAACTCGCAGTTGCGCCGCTAACTTTTCTATACGCAATTATTACTGCCATCTCGAAGTGATTGAAATACACTAGCTAGAATCAGAACTTTCTCGAACCAACGCGGTAATTCCAAATATTTAATCACGCCTAATGCCACCTAGCGGGTAGCTGAAAAAAATAGTACATAGTACCACTACTCGCCACTAGATTTCGTCAAGTGTCACTTGAAATGTAAAAAAGCGGTTGCTTAGGTCAAAGTTTGGAGACCCCTGAGTTAGGGTATAACAGAACCACAAGTGATTCTGTAATTCCCGTATCCAGTGGGGCTACGTGGAAGCAGGCATCCGATGGCCGGTTTTCTCAACCGCCACATCCCAAACCAATGCACTCGCCAAAAACCACCAATGAGTTTGTCAAAAAATTTGATCCTCAGACACATCAATCAGTTTTCATCTATCTAGTTTGAAAACAAGAGTTTCCCTTAAAAAATGTCCGATTTGGCTCACTCTGTACATGCCTCTATTGTAACTTTTTGGTAGCTACACAATAATTATTCAAATGAAGTTCCTATTGATACTTCTGAAATAAACAATCAACATTAGTTCCATCCATTATTGCTTCAATACTATTTCAGAACCCGGTTTTCATTATTGAATTGAGTTGTTAATACTGAAATGGATTTCATCGTACTTTATCGAGTCTTTCATCATGACGTTTACCAATTGATCAAATAGACTTGTGTTAATTAAAATGAACTGTCCCCAATAAGATGACATTTCATCGATACGGTAACAACCAAAAATAAATCCTGAGAAACACCACATCAGCAGAATAAAATTTTGTTTCCCGAAATAGTCAAATCTTCCATCCAGTCGTTTGTCTCCGGTCATTGTCTCCACCTGCTTAACATCAAAGTTCCTGAAAGAAAGGTATTTGTAATGTTTTTTTTTTGAAGTATGGCTTCTTATATGATCCCAATAAATAAAAAATGTGGAAGAGTGTTTCTATAAAATGTTTATAATTATCCTCGCTTTCAGGAAAATGGCTACGAAAAACTCGGAAAATTGCTTTCATAGGGATATAAAATATATTCTGAGAGTTTGTCAAATATTTGGACTATTTCCTGTCTCAGAATTGACTTCAGAAGACCACCGAAATATAAAGTTCGAATGGAAATCCACCCTAACCGTATATTCTTTCTTGTTGACGTTGTCAACACTAATTTGCACTGTCCTAACTTTTATTCAGCTAGTCACTCACGAATTCAATTTACATTCAATGGGTAAGTCAAGGTGATATGTATATGCACAGTTAAATGGAGTACATGGGATTCATTTCTATGCTATAATTCATTCATAGTAGTATTAACTTCATTGTCATCTAAAATATCCCTCATGAGGCATCAAATTCTATAACTCTACATTTTCTTTCAGATTCCTTTATGTTTTGCTTCTTCGCCTTCGCCATTTCTTTGTCTTTCTACAAATTAGCAATGGACTGGTCGGAATTATTGAAAAGTTTTCGTGAAATAGAAATAGCTTTCAAGAACTATAGCTACTACCAGAATTTGAGAAAACAATTTACAATCATGTTTGTAATATCTACTACAGGAACATTAAGTGAGTTGACAAATATTTCAGAAGTACAGAATTGGTTCCTAATATTTTTTCCTCACGAACGACTCCTTCTATTAGATCGACAGAAAACTGAAATCATGGATAATAAACACATACTGTGTTCCACAATTCCTCCCGTGTATAATTCGAAAGAAATGACTGAGAGGAAACTTACCAGAAGTAGAAGTAACTGGCCCCACGGTATAGTTCCTCGTATGTTCAAAGTTCGCCACTTCTCGGTAATGATCGGTTGTTGGTCGGCTAAAATTACCGTGGTTCGCACCGCCCGTTCGATAAACCACTCATTCTACAGACGATTCATGGAAATGGTAATGGTCGGAGATGCTTTTGTAGTTCGTTGTGACCACCTGTAGAGGTCGCAGCAATAATTTGTCGAATTATGAGCATGCGTAGTTGACGCCAATGCTGTCAGCTGGCAACGATTTCCAACTCCCTCTATAACTTAGAATTGGAACTAAACAAAAAAGCGGGAAACTTAAACGCAACAGCTCAACTATTGAAACTTTTCCTAGAGATCAATTACCGTAACACCAAACTGATATTTTTTGCACTCGACGCGTGTTTTGCTAACATGGTTAGCATCTTCATGAGAACAATGTTCCTTTAGAAGGAAAAATGTCAACAAAGACTACTTCTTCTTCACAGAACCTTCTTATCTTCTTCTTCTTCTTATATCACTGAAATACTGTTGTTTTGTGATATATACTTCGAAGAGACCTCTACAGGTGGTCACAACGAACTACAAAAGCGTCCCTGACCTGATCATCTGCGTGGTACGTCTAGAGAGTAAGTGGTTTGTGGCCCGTTCGGTGAATGCACTTTTTGATATATGTCATTGAGCTTTCCCGGTGATTCAGTTATTATCTTCTCAATCGTTGCTAAACTCCGTCTTTCTGTGAGTCTGTTCATTCTTGAAAACAGAAAAAAGTCACAGGGGGCAAATCAGGTGAATACGGTGGTTGGAGTACGATTACGGTGTAGCAAGTACTGATGCACTACGTCACGGTAACGCTTTTGTCAAGCATTCACCAGGTTACTCCCCATGTCAAGCGCACGTGGAGAAGTTTCACTTCAAAATTTGAAAACAGGACAAAGTTGATGATATAAAGAATCTAGGGTCCATTGAAAACAGGTCTTGAGGAATAGTCTGACCCTTACCACATGCACATTTTCCAATGGTACTCCTTGTATAATATCTACTATAGATATTTGATTTGCTTTCAGTTGAACACAGTTTAGCAAGGGTGGCTACCTACAACCAAGTTGATCCCCAAGCAAAATCAAATAGAACACAACTGGAATTGTATTTAAAAAAAGAGTATTCATTTGTTTTTGATCATATGGAATATTCCAATCCGGTAGCTTCATTTTCATTCGTAAGTATATTTTAAATAATTTCAAAACTTTAGTTGGAATTTGCCTCCTTGCGATGGTGACTATGTAGTACAGTACGGTACAGTCGATCTTTCATTTCGATTTACTGTTTTCCGAAACAATAATTTGATATACTTACTTTCAAGTACCGACATCATCGCCGATTATTAAAGAGGATCATCCCATTTCTTGACAATTTTCGGAGCTAACTATTTCACAAAGTTCTTCCAGAACAACAGTCATTTGCAAAATAATGAACAATAGATATATTGAGGAAAGCAAATGAAATTCGTATTGTTATTACATTTATAACCCCATGAGAAACACGTCACATTTCAGGAAATACCAGGAAGACTTCAGAACGGAATATTAAAAAAATCATTTTGCCAGCCAAAATCCATTTCACAGGCTTTTTTGAATAATTATTCTACTGAAGATCTTTCTTATTTAGCCCAGTTCCTCATTGAGAGTGAAGTCTGAGTGAACGATCAATTATGGTCTAGACGTTTCCCCTCTTGGTAAGTTGGTGGTGAATGGATTCGTAATTCAAATAATCTCCTGAGTGTTAGTCCTCTTCATCATCACGTCTTAAAACAACTATCAATTGTGAATTCATTATCTCTTCTTATAGAAGGTCCCACGCTGTTAGGGTGCTACAAAAAAGTTGCCGATTTCGCGTCCTCTCGGTTTCATATCATGAAGTTGTCGTCAATGTATCTCAACCAGACTCTGGGCTTCTTGCGGGCTTCTTCAACGGCCAGCAATTCATTACTACCCCATTTATATGTTAGCGATAACCGGTGAGCGATAGGAACCTCTGTAGAATTAGAGGTACTTTTTCCCCCTATTTGAGCTTGATCTGTTTTCCATCGCTTCGAGTGTCTTCAATTGTTCTCAAAAGACAAGATTATTTGCAATAGCAGCTGGATGATTGTAAGCAGGAGTGTGGATAAGTTGTAGGTGACTGAATATGTGGAACAGATCTAAGCGAAACATTTTTCTTGTTGGTTTTGATTAGTCCACACAGATTAGGAAGTTTACTGAGTGTGCACCTTTTTTCTCATCGAGGCAGTAAATTATCATGTACTTTTCCTGTATTGCTCCGTCTGAAGAAAGTCTTCGATCTTCTATTCGTGAAGATCAGTATCCACCACTGCAGGTGAAATCTCGATAGTGTTACTGATTCCTTATATACAATTCACTAATGAATAATTCGGTATTTCAGATCATCAATATTTTCAACGTTTTTGCTTGGAATTTTCTCGACACATTCATAATGATGATCAGCGTAACTCTAGTATTCAGATTGAAGCAAATTTGCTCACAAATCAAAGCTGGAGTTCGTAAGAAGGTGCGTATATAATACAAAGAAACATGTTTATTCGTTTTTTTTTTGGTTAGAGTTCCTCTTCAAATACTGAACCGTCCTACAATAAAGCTTCTGAAATTTTTCTGTCTGAATAATAATAGCTGTTTGAATTGAAAGGGTCATATTTTTAGGAATGGTTATTTTTTAGGAAAGAAAGTTTTTGGCCTTCTTACTGCTTCATTCGTTATCACCAAGTTACTTCACGTCGTGAAGTAACTTGGTTTGGAATCTTTTGATTTTCAATTTTCATTTCTTGTTGATATATTTTTTATTTTTATCTGTTAATAGTTCAATTTTTCGATTTCTTGGTTGTTGCTTGTATTTTATTTCATTTTAATTTCAGTTTTTGCTTGATATAATTTTTTCAGCTGATCTCTCCTATATCATATCATATTAGATCGAATGAAATATTTCTTGAGTTCCCAATTTGTTATCAAGCGAAGAACTTCCAAAAAATAACAATTTTTTTCACTAGATTACAAATTTTCAGTAGGGGAGATAATTTCTAGTGAAATAAATAATGCATGCCTTCTTCAGTAGTCATAGAAAAACAAAATTTGCTTTCTTCGCTCTAATATTATTCATTGATAGCATTTTTCATTTCCCTCTGACTCAGTGGATGAGTTTAATTGATGCATTTATGCATGCATTTATTTATTTTATCGTCCTTTCCTTTCCATGAGCGCCAGTGCTGGGTATCAGTTTCTACAGTAAAGGGATACTAATTTTCATACCAGAAATCTAAATAATGAACCATGAACAGTCAATAAATATTGAGATTTTTTTCATTTCATTCTTGATTTCAGTACATCTCTCTTTATTTCTGGACAAAAGTGAGAGAAGATTATAGTTTGATATCAGAATTATGCCAAAAGGTGAATGATAAGATTGGCCACATGATATTGATATCATTCGCGTCAAATATGTATTTTGTTCTGTCTCAGCTGTATAAAGGATTGACGTAAGTATCAGTGCTAATTCAATCTAAGAAAGTTGGGTATTATTTTTTGAATGATCAAGTAGTTATTCGTGAAGAAATGAAACAAAAGCCAGATAAGTGATTGAAAGTAATGATTTAAAGTAATGAAAAGTAATTGAAAACTTCCATATTAGAATCACGAGTTGATGTGGAAAAGTCACTGGTACTAATATTGACACATACATGGTGTTACTATTTATCCTCATTAGGTTAGATAACGCTCAAGAGTAATAAATACAGTTTAAACAGGCTTTTATAGAACATCAACATAAAGACTAAAGTCAATAAAAGTGTTTCAGTACCATTTGTAATCCATTGTTAAACATTATCAACAGTTCTTTAGAGAAAGGTGACGTACCAACTGAACTAAAATTATCTACTATTATACCTAAACCAAAAGGACCAAATACAAACCAAGCTATTCAATTGAGACCAATAAACATTATCAATGCTAAAGCTAAAGTATTGAAAAGGGATTCAGAATCAAACGAACCATAATTGATGGAATTTATTTCATATTTTCGTTTGGAATAGTGATTTTGAGGCTGAGCGGAGTGATACTGTATGGATCTGAAGTAAATCTACAGTCTCAGAAACCTTTGAGGTACCTCATCTCTGTGAAGTCAGACTACTATAATGAAGAGGTATGTTGTGTTGAATAACCAAGAAACATTATTGGAGCATGATAATAATAATAATAATACGTCTTTATTCACCACAAATTATTATTGAATAGTAGGAACTAATCATAACTTCCATGTCTAATTTTTGATCAATTTTTCTTATTTTTTAGATAGAGAGGTTCATTCTAGAAATTCACTGCCACGAAACTTCACTCTCAGGAAATCAGTTTTTCACCTTGAAAAGAGGATTGATATTTGGTGTGAGTGATAATTGTGAGAAGCAGTGTTAAAATAGAAATTCATATCAGTTGTTTTCATTGCCGAATCTTTCGTTTCTACTCATTTACTCATCAGTTGATAATTATTAGGTTGTTTCGAAGGTTTTGTCCATTTTTATAGGTCTACTTTGAACTGTAATATCTCAAATACTTATTCAATTAAATCAAAATAAGCGTCATATCAATCAGTGCACTTTTACATAATACAAGTCGATTTACTCAGCATAAAAATTATGTGCTTGGGATTTGACGAATTTGACGAAGGACGCTTTTGCCTGCTTCCGAATGGTGAAGGTTCTACCGGCGAGAAGATTATCGAGGTGCTTGAAAAGACAGAAGTTGGTTGGCGAGAGTTTGGGTGATTATGGTAGGCGCTGATATGTAAAACTTGCGTCAAGTGTAGCTGACGTGTAAAAACCCTCATATGAGAAGGTTGTCGCGGGTATCAAGGGGGGATTCTTGCACCTGTAAGCCGCAATAAACCCTTGCGGGTTGCGGTGGAGGGTCCAACGGACCCACCTACTTTCCACCTTACCTAATACGATGATCTGAAGAGAGGCAAAAAGTTAAAATTTGGAGCTACAATAACACATGACATTGAAACGGATAAAGCGTTTAAAACAACCTAATAACCAACATATGGGATGAAAGTCTTGTGCAGATTCAGTAATTCTCGATGAACTGTTTTGTCATTCAAATTTTTTGATTATTCTCACATTACTGAATGTTCATAATCACTATTTTTTTCTAAATGTAAAATGCATCCTGGAATAGTTCAACTCACTTAGAATGAGAGCACCCTGTATATATAAGTACTCCCCTTCTACACAGTAGGTACTTAGTGTTTTAGTGAAACTCATATTTTCTTTCTAATATTCAAGGGTTACCCATAATTTAAAATCAAAAATAATTATTTTCAATATTTGTGTTGCAAAAATTTAAACGTCGTGTAGTCTGTAGAATTCTCTACATAGACCCGTTGCTTCAGAAAATAGCCCCGAAGAAACGGTTCGGCGAAAGCGGTCATGACGTCACCAGATATACGAATTAGGGAACCGAGTAGAAATCGCCATCTGTTTCAGACTTTATTCAGTACCTGAATAATTGCATAAATAGAATTTAGAAGCGCTTCCATTGAATGAATTCAGAAAAAAATCAGTCCTTATCCATATCGGAATATTCCAAATGGGTAAGTTCACTGGTGATAAAAAATAACGTTTGTTTTGCCTCACTAGAACATTCCTGGATTGAAAATATCTTCATCGAAACCTCAAACAACAAATTCTTTGCTTCATAACTGTTCAGACGTTGTTCTAACGCTGTACGGACAATAGCACATATCTCGTGACGTCACACTTGCTTTTGGCAAACGCGCAGCTTCAAAGATATATGCCTTGACAGTGAATGCTATCGAGTTGTAATTTTTGCCTTTGCATTCCGGATGACAAACAATATCAAAAGATTTTCTGGAAATAAACTTTGTCTGAACGACTAGATCATCAACTTTCGTTTTTTTTTTCCAGATGGCAACTGCAATAATAACATACGAGTTATTCATGCTCCAGACAAAAATTAACTGATGGGGAAGTATGTATGGGCTGAAAACCTGAGGATTGTTCACTTTTCAGGTCAACGGAAATAAAAAGGAAATACGTCATTAACGTCATATAACCTATACATAATATTACCCTTGTATTATCTATTCAGCCATTTTTTTTTATAAAAATGTCATACTTCTTCGT